AGAAAAAATTCGGATTCCGCGCTCCTATGCTCTACCACTGAGCCTCAGAGACTTCACGGTAAGCGAGGTCTACTACGAAGTTCAAAAATTTATTTAATAATATTTAAAATATTTGCATCTGCCTTTCATAATCATCATGGTGGTTTACGCAAACAAAATGGTAGAAATTTGCTGAAAGAAACTTCAAGCGTTTCTGTTACGCCAATGAATGGAGCAGTAACTCTATTCTAGCGTGGGAGCCTCCTAGTCTCGAACTCAGATCTTCCAAGGCCAATTACACGGTAGGATCTGGGTACGAGATTAGGAGCCTTCCCCCCTCTTCCCTCCCCCCTCCCCCATGACCACCAAAAAACTGGTACTTCATGGGGTTGAAAATGCATCTCCTCCGCCGCGTTTAGAGAAGGAAGGGAGCAAAGGTTCAAACTTTGATCACTTTACCCTCACCGGGAGCCCATTACATGCAAAGAGCAGCCATGGCTTAAAACTCGAAAGTTTAGTTCCTCGTAGGTTTTTTTTTTTCCTTCGGGGTTACCTGATCCTGCCAGCTGGTTAAACCTGCCCTCTACTGTTCTACATGTTGTTCCGTTTCCTTTACAGACACCGCATATGTCTTCCTGTGCTCCTGAACCTATCTTGAAGTCACAGCCAACATCCTGGATAAGGAAGATGACACAACTATTAATAACAGATGGCAAAACTAAGGGATATTGGACAAAGTGCACAAAGGATTCTTGGTCAGTTGTTAGAGAAATGGATTTCTCGGAAAAGTGAGAGACTTTCCTTCAACAAAATAGGTAATAAGGGTCCCCGCTCGTCAACAGTTCAGGGACATAAAAATGAAAGAGGGAAAGTTCCTTGGAAAAACAAGTGCGATACTTCGTATTCTATTGAAGAGTGCTATCGATGATAGCTTTATAAAGGCGCAAGCAACCATCACCACCTTTCTCCTACGCCTTCTCAATATTTCTGACTCAAGATATTCCATATGGCAAAGGTCAAATAACGATACCTGGCATCTGCCGTCGATACAAATGTCAATTGACCCAGAACTACATGAGGTACCATCTATGACTTTAGAAGCGAGTTTGGCTGAAAAACGATACTGTGGATCCTTTGGTTTACAGAATAACGAACACGGCTGACCTATGGAGGGAAAAATAAAGATCATGAAGTGACATGAATAATGATGTTGATGACCAAAGTGTACGAACTGTATGCATGGTATGGTACGCTTACGGTAACCTATTTTAAAAAGCGGTGATTATTCTATATGAAAGTGATTCGAGTGTAGCGTTCACGTGAAGTTTCTCTCTCGCAAAACAAGTCAATAAACGATGGATGAGTAAAAAAGTAATGGTTCAGAATAATACAAGTATTACTCTATTTATTCCCATAAGTATTTGGTACATATGAGACACTAAACTGCAGCTTTTTTCGACAATTGTATAGGATAATTACGAAACAAAGCTAATGTGTTCTTTAAAATACGATCTGCTCCGTTGCGGCTACAGAGGCACTTACCATCACTTATCACAGGAACCCATTCATGTTTCTCCCCTCTATATTTAATGCCGTTAAACGACTCACATTGCAAGGTTCTGAAATCCTTAGATGTCGGAGGACAGGGCTGAAAAATAAAAGTAATATATTTGGGCAACCGCACTTAGGGTATATTATTGGATAAAGCTTCTTTTGGGGTTGAATCTGTCGCAAGAACACACCTCTTTAGAATCTGAATATGAGAGCAAAATCTTTGAATGAAACTCTGAGTCCATAATAGAAGGAATTTTGAAATATTTCTTGGCCTTCTCATCGTTCTCACGAATAAGTCAGGCTTAATTCTGACAAGCCCTTGTTTATCTTCTTACATGAAACATTAATAATAATTCATCATTTTGCAAATGCTCGTGGAAAGCTGCAGAAGAAGCCACTTAAAGAGGCTTGGGGCGTAATTCCCCTTATTTTCTATAGAGTATTCCTTTTTGGATCAAACAAACCTAATGTTCGTTTGTTATTTCAAATACTGTTTACAAGAAATTGTCTATAACATAAGAAAACATTTGATCTTTTCCCCGACATTGGAAAATACTTCAGCAACATGAAAATATCTTTAAAAAGCGTTTGAATGTTTTCCTTCGAAGGCTACAAATATCAAACAATAATTTTTCATTTCTTTTCCTTTTTTTTTTCGTTTTTTTTCTGGACTAGTTGTTGAGTGGCAGGAACATCAAGCAAAACTCAACGGAGTTTCTAAGATAATGAGTGATCAAAAATAATTAAGCAAATTGTCATACGTTTCATTAAAATCACGGGAAAATGTATATATCGATCCAGTTTAACTATTGCTCAATCAAAGAATTGGTGCTTAATCCTTAAACTACGTTAAACTTATTGGATGTCAAAAGTACCTCTAAATTACATGTTCGAAACTTCCTTGACTCCCCCTCACAATACCGACCACCGTTCAAAGGACTAGAAAAGAAATCGTAAACAAAATTAACACTAACTAATCAGCAAAATTCAAATTGTGACGCACTTCCCTCTGAGGGCGTTAACTGATAGAATAATTTGGTTTTATCAACTAGGTTAATATTGTGAATTTCCCAGCGTTTGGAGATTCTAACCCTTCGTCAGAGTGAATTCTTTAAAGGATAGCATGCTTAACGTATCCTTGAGGTCAAAAAGTTTTGTTTAAAACTTTGGAGCTTGTTTAAATCGTTTTTGCAGTAGAACTTGTCACATAAATCTGCACCTTTCAGTCCACGGATAATTTTATTATGCCATTTACAATTATTTCCAGTTTGACGATGAACATCATCCCGACCCAAATCTTGCAGTTTTGTCACCTGAAGAAGCAACCCTCCATTTAACCGACAATTGGTGTCCCGTTCTTCTACACCAAAATACTAAATATCGGTTTTCAGAATTGGAAAACAATTTTCCATACATGATACCTACCTTGGTGAGTCACAAGTTCTTTTTTGAGAACTTACGCCCATGCCACAGGTTCGGGAACATTTGGTCCATTCCGTCCAGGAACCCCACCCACCGTCTCTCTTCAAAGGTATAGCTTTGTTATCGACACATTCGCCGTACATACACCACTACGACAATAAAACCATAAAAGTTATTAGTAACACGTCGCGTGGAAATGAACAGCTTGCACAAGAAGCCGTTGAATATTTTGTGTGGTTTAATAGATATGAGAGTTGCGCGCTTTGGAAACAAGAAATAGGTTCGTGTCTTTTAAAGGCCCATGAGAAGAACGGCAGTTTTTGGTATCCTTTGGTTTAAACGAAAACTTTTCGACACCAGAGTACTAACAAATCGCCTCCTCATTCAATGCAGTAAGCCCACCTTTTGCAACGAATCCGGGGGAAATTAAACACCAAGCGCTATCATGTGGGGAGGCAAGTTCCTAACGAGTAGCATTTGGCTCAGTTGGTGGTGGTGCTTTACTACTATCTGTTAACCCTAAGCAATTACCGGGTTTAAACCATCTATTGTATGATGAAGTTTTTAAAACGACCAAAAAGTGATGAGTTATTAACCCACCTTACCAGGTGCACAAGCTGTTCCTGTCGCTGGAGGATTCAGTTTACTTCTACACAAGTTTTCTCCTTCGATCTCGCACCAAAGTTGTTGGCAAACACGAAACTACCCAAAAGGAAATGATAACTATCATCATAAAACAGTTTAAAAATGATATCTGCCCTCTCTTTAGTTGAAATAACTAGCCCACAGCGGTTATCTAAAATGTCATCATGCGATATCACTCTAGAAAAAGGTGGATAGTTTGGTGCAACAATCTAAGTAACAGCCAAATGTTTGCTTGCCCGAATGCGACAATTTTCACAGCACGTCAGTCAATTAAAATTTACCTATCTAAATTTATTTATCTGGATCGAGAAAGAAACCGAGGGGTAACATAATATAATCATTATGTGACTCCCTCGATGAAGCTTTATAATTGTCCAAAATGTTCCCGCGCCTTTTTTACATGAGAAATGTTTGCAGCAGTATATACAGCAACTTAGCTATATATTTACATGTTTAAAGACGATAAAAAAAACAAGATAGTTTTAGTTTATTTAATTTTTTATTTATCAGCAATATTTCACCACGCTGGCCCAGTTCAGCTTCAAGTTGGTTTGAATGGGGATCTGTGAGGCCTGTTTAATCATTCGCCCAAACAGTCAACTCTTTATTAAAAAGCCTGCGTAATGAAGATGACAACCGAGTTATTTGCCGTCTTCTTTCTTATATTTCTATATAAATTTCAATAAACCTCAAAGAGCATCCTGGGAAACAACAGGCCATCTTGGTAGAAAAAAGGCAAACTCAATTTGACTGAGCTACCTTTGACAATTTGGTTCTCAACCACTCTTAGACATTCAGGTGAACGTGAGTGGGAGTACAAGAGAACAGATGGAAGAAAAATGCAACTTAATGAAGGAGGAAAACCAATTCAAGAACCAAAGAGCGAAGGAGGTAGTGAATAGCAGCATGTGCATGACAAAACTGTCAAACGACTATCTCAATACGATCCTTATCATTTTCAAATCAGTATTAATAGCTTTTGTCATGCATCAGCTGCAAGTCCTTGAGGCTGAATATTCAGTGGATTTCCATCACTGCGTGCAGCTAAGACGAAGACTTTTCGCTTCACAAAATTAAAGGCAAAAAATTGAGATACCTCGTTGTAAGCATGCAATGTAAAAATACTTTTTTGGCAATAATTTTCAACATCTGTCATGGTAGTTACTCTTTAGCGAAATAGGAAAAATCGATGAATACGTCACAACGAAAAGAAAGCATCAACTTCAGAAGTTAAGCGGAAATGAGAATTAAAAGTCAAGAGGCATACTAATCATTTTTCAAACCTACCACTAGCAAAGAAAAAGATGTCAATTAAAACGTTAATAACGTAAATGAGTCACTCAACAAGGGGAAGAGAGCAGAATAGGAAATCATTTTTGATTAAATGGAGTGCTGCCTTTATATGCTAATCTATTTACGACTTTGCAGAATACTGTCGTGTCTTGACAGGGAACAGAAGTGTGCCATACCGATCTAAAAGTCTTCTTGGTAAAGGACCTAAACCAGCAACATAGTCCTTACAACTTCCCTGCATAGCCTGAATTTTCTTTGGATGTTCGTGCATAATTGCCACAGTGATGAAATATTAATACCGACGTAGTGTATACTTCAAAGCAATATTACAACTCAGCAAGCAAAACACGAAACTAACGAATTTGTGGTAAGGTTTTTTCTGAATCGTTTCTTTGTAAACTATTCCATGGCATTTAACAGCACGGTACTTTTTGACAACAGTTCAATTTCTTTGCCTGATCACGATGTAGCTTTCGCAGTCGTGTACTCCTTTATCATTGTCATTGGCATTCCAGCTAACTGTGTGATAATCACCATTGTTCGAAAGACGCCTTCAATGCACACCACAACAAACTATCTCCTGCTAAATTTGGCAATCGCCGATCTACTGACGCTGATACTATGCCCGGGTAGCTACGAGTACCTTCTCACCAAAGTGCATTTCGACAAAACAATTGGAGATTTTGTCTGCAAAGTCTTCGCGGGAAATGCATTTATTCCGATTACGATGAACGCCGCTGCCTTGACAGTTAGCACAATAGCCGTGGAGAGATACTTGGCGCTTGTCAGACCCTTTGAAACTGGTTTAAGACTGACTGAAAAACAACTTCCTTACATAGTTGCTTTATTGTGGACATTGTCCGTTTCGTCCTGCGTTCCTGACTTGTTATCAAATACTGTGGACTCAAATCCTCACTCAGGCTATCCGTGCAAACGACCTTGGAGAGTTGACGAATATTCTCATCACGAAGGCTTTATAACGTTTACTAGTATTGTCTTTGGAATTGTTCCAACCGTTCTAGTAATTTTCTGCTACTTCGAACTTTTCCGTGGATTTTTCATCACGCATACAATATGTGCGGCAGCTTTGCAAGGTTCAGGCAATCAAGTGTCGGCAGAACATCGCTCAAAAAGACAACTCTTTATGCTTCTTTTGTGGGTTATGCTCCTATTTTGCGTTTGCACTTTGCCATTTTCTTTATTCTTTATATATTTAACCACTATCGACGAAGAGACCGCTGCAAGTGACCGCCCTCGCCTGTTTTTAATTCATAGAACCGTTCGCTTTCTTCTAATCGCCAATTCATTTTGCAATCCTCTCATTTACGCGTTTCAAAGCTCGAACTATCGACAGGGATTCAAACGAATTTTCTCCAGTAAACTGTTTCCCCAAAGAAAGGCAAGGAAACACAAAAATAACAGAGATTCAAATGAATTTTCTCCTGCAAACTGTTTCCCCAGAGAAATGCAAGACCACAAAAATTTCACTATAGATAAATAATGCCGACTTTGCCAAAGTCGTTTTTTTTTAAACAGTTTTAATGACAAACATCACCTACATGAATGGCAACGATGAAAGGTAGTTTTGATCACGGCAGGTACTCTCTAGATAAAAACAAACTCTGGAGAAAGAAGAGGATTTCTGACCATTGCAGTGAAATCATTAAAAAGAAGTCTTTCGATTTTGCCGTGTTTTTTTAAAGGCATTAAAATCCAAGTTCGAAACTCATCTCTCCCCTTTTTCTTCTCCTTTTCTTCGGTTTTTTGTATTGTTTTCGCTTTTAGCAATTTTTTTAAAATTGTCTTAAACGTCAGCTGTTTAAATATTGATATAAAGACCATCCTCAATGAAATGTTATCTTGAGGACATACAAAACCAACTTAGCTCTTTAGAACGAATATATCCTTACTTAAGGCTACAGCTAAGTGCATCTCTATTAACTCTCCATATTAAGCTCACTGCCTGATTCATTCGTTAACAACAAGCACACGAAAACCGATAGTTCTCAAAAAGCAAGCGATGTTAGAGTTCTTAGCTGTTTTTTAGGTTTAACTAATATTTTATTATATTTCTAGACGTTTTTCTTAAGTAATTCGTAAATAAAAAGCACTGTCGTGAGTTTTAAATTTATTTTGGTTTTTTTTTTTTGCTTTGATCATTTACGCTAATTGTTTGGTTCGTCTGCATGTTTAAAACAGTAACTTAGTGAAGCATATCTACGTAACCCTTATATTGACTTGACTGCACAGTAAAACAATAAAGAACTGAATGTTTTTAGCCTTCGATCTTCTTTCCTTTTCAAAATATATCAATTCAAATAGTGACAACCGTGAATTCTCAGCGCCGCGCAAATTCCAAAAAGAAATAATTAACTGCTGTTTAGCTTTCTTCGGTGATGCCCGTTTGGCTCAACGAACAAAAGAAATGAATATAATTTTTACATCTTTTATCAGTTGAATTGATCCAATACACCTGCCTGCCTGCCTGACTGACAGGGCTGATTAATGACTGAAAGAACCTCAATAAATATGAAATGAGACTCTTCTTTCATTGTTTAGGTTTTAAGCCAACGAATCTACCCAGCTTGGATTTCGTTCGCTGTCATAAATTTCGTCCCCAGTTCCCCTCGTTCTTGCAGCGATCTCCCAGACATTGAAGAAAGGGAAACATTAAATTAAGGAAAATAAGAAAAAAGAAAATTAAAGCAAAATACTACTATTACCACTATAATAATAATAATAATAATAATAATAATAATTGTATTAATAATAATAACAATAATAATAATAATAATAATAATAATAATAAGGCCAAACGTTTTAAGAATTTCTCGCCTTTCTGGAAGCTAAGTCAAGAAGTTAAATGATTTTTCTCCGTCCTTATCTTTTTTTAACTCGTATTACCAAATGTGTCATGCCCTTGTCTTCCTCAGCCAAAATGCTTTCAGGTCCATAGAGTTAGACAAGTATTTCGCCAGTTATAGTAAGTGGCTTCATGAAAATAAAACTCTTTTACAGGCAGCTGAGTCAGCAGGTATCTAACAAAGTGGACACTGGATCGAAAGATTCTTGTTATCTCCTCTAACAAATAACTTTACTAAAACAGTGCCTCTTTCCATCTAAAATGGGTATCGCAAACTTTCAGTGAGCGTAAAGACAAGACGGGAGATAACCTTGGTATCCCATTCTGGAGAGGGTTGGAGGGTAGCTAAATTTCCTAGTGCTTCATTTTAATAAAAACGGGACAAGTGACCATTAGGCTGGTGAGACTTAAAATACCTTGTATTTTTGACAGTGTCTGGCTCTGTTTCCATATTGCTGCTTGCACTGCTCGTCTACAGTGAATGCAACTCCTGGCACTTCTGTAGGCAACTGCAATGGTTTCTTCTTGGCGTGATTTCTCAAACACTTGCTGGCTTGGGAACTAATGGAGAAAGGAAATCAGGCTCAATTAAGCATTGGCGAAAAAGCGATGTCCAGTGAAAAAGTAATGATACAATATTCTGTACAAAAAGGCCGCTCCTGGATTGTTTGTCTTTCAAAACTTTTTACGTTGTTTCATTTTCTATTCACACTTTCGGTCCTTGTTCAGCCTTCTAAAAATAAATAATAGCTATAGATGTAAGTTCTTCAGCGCTCGGGTTCTTACTTGAGAAAGGACTTGATGTAAGCTTTACTGCACCATGACCACTTCATTGTTCCACGTCGATTCCTTGCCAGCCACCGCGATGACATAAGGTGAGGTGTTAATCCTGCGGAGTCTGGGCACGTGTTTCCGTCTCCATCATGATATGCACCTAGACTATTTTGAGACCCAAAACAAGATGATGAGCACGAGAGGGTAGAATAAATTGTGCTTTGCAGACCAAATGACTGATTGGTTGACCGATTGACTGATTGATTGATAACTGAGTTAATAACGTAAATTGGCTACCGTAAAGAGTTTCAAAGATGAATTTTCGAGCGCTAGCACTTCGTCAGAGCGAATCATTCGAATCATTCACCCTATTATACTCTCCCACCGACGTAGCATCACAGTTTCTTTAGAAACTTACCCCCTCTATGACTGATTGATAGACTTACAAAATGTTTGACTGAATAAGTGACTGACTGACTGACCAACTGATGAACTGACTGAGTCATCAACCGAATGACTGACTGAACAACGGACTGACCGACCGACTGACTGACTAACAGACTGACCGACCGACCGATTGACTGACTGACAAGCTGACTGGTTAACCGACTGACTGACTGACTGACTGACTGACCGACTGACAGACTGACTGACTGACCGACTGATAGAGTAACTGTGATAATTAGTAAAGCAATACGTGAATTACTTGTGTCCGATTTCATGTGCAACTGTAAACGCAACATTTAGCCCATTGTCTTGTGAGACACTGCACCGTTTTTTTGGGTCGCACATTCCATGCAGAAACGCCATACCTGTGGTAAACAAAAGAAATGCTTCTGCAACAAACCGTTCGCTGAGGTAGAAAAACACAAAGTTTTAACCTACCCACGGTGTCACAAGCGGAAAAACGTTTAGCGCAAATATCTTTCCTGTGAATTAAAATGGAGAAGAATGTCAGACAGTCGTCATTAATGCGTTTGGGTCGGCTTTCGGGGCATTGAGAGGACGAGTGGGTGGGGTGGGTGGGTGATCGATTTAACAGATAAATTCCATGTTACTTTACTTCTGCTCAGTGATAGATCACAGATGACGTCAAAATGTGGTAAGAACAAAAACGTGGTACATGAGGCGCAGCTGAGTGTGTCACTAATGTTCTCAATATATCTTGAGTCTTCCGTGATCTATTACTAACAGACCCACGGCAACACGGAATTTATTTGTGTAATATAACAAAGGAGAGAAAAAATGTTAATAGTGGCGTCTATCCTCCGATAGATCATAAGTAGAAACCAATCAAAATCCGTATGTAATTTTTTTGTCAGAAATGCATATTGAGTACAATTTTCTCTACTTTGGAGGGGTGTGTGGGTCATTACTCCAAAATTTTCACATCGTTAATATTTGGAACCGTTTCTTAAAATTTCCACAAAGCAGAGGATGACGCGACAGTTTGAATCATTTTTTGTTGTCTTCTGCAGCCTGTCACATTGTGTTGGTGTTGTTGGACACATACCTAGTTAACAGCACCGCCCCGTCATATTTTGGGTTTTCCTTGGATGTGTCTTTTGTAATCCATTGCTGCCACTTACAGAAACTTTCCAGCGTCCTGTCTCCATGATAGGTGATTGACAGGCCTTTCTATCGAGTAGAAAGGCAAAAACGAAACAATTAGGTTTTGAAAAGGTTTCTGTCAGCCTGATTGTAAAAGATTGCGCAATGTATCTCATAAAAGAGAAAAGAGAAAAGCAAAAAAAAAAGTAGCAACACACAAGAAATGAAAACGGCTCAATCTTTCTACAACGGCCACGTTGGAGAGAGTGGAGACAGTCTTTTAAGGAATGGTAGACCTTTTTTACTCACAAAAATACTTGGTGTAGAATGTTGATGCAAACATAATCAAACATGATAAATCAAAAAAAGAGAAACAAATATTGAGGTACGTTCCAAAAAAACTTTTAAGCACATCTGAAATTTCATTTTTTCTCTAGTGAAATAGTGTCTACGAGACTGTCTCACAAAGAAAGTCGTGCTTCACCATTCAACAGTCTACTATCAAGTGGGAGAGACAGAATGCACATATTTTGGAGGTTACTTTAATAGTCGTTGACCTCATGAGGGGTTCGTCGAGTGGCCCTTCTTGAAAGGCTAAAACAAGAGTGAATTAAAATGTCTTCCCCTGGACGAAAAAAATGTTGTGTTGGGTAAGCGGCCGTTATTGAAGGTTCGACTAAAATTGTGTTGTACTGTTGCACTTTCTTACTTACAGGCATGTTGTACAGAAGTATTAGCTTGGATACTTCAATATTTATCTTTTCTCCAATACTTGGGTCTCGGTACAGGTCAGCCACCTTAGAATAAAAAATAGAAACTATTTTCATCATATCATCTTCGGCGCCAATTTGAAAACCACAACTTTATCAAAGAACTCAAAGTCATCAATGCCATTCGCATTCATCTTCTATATTAAGTTAAAAAGAATATTTTTTTTATTTTTTTGGAGACAAACATACTTAAGTCAGTCAAAATTTTGAAAACCAAGATGACTTCTAAAATTTCTTCCGTTTGCAAGAAGATAATTTTTTTTTGACCTCGGCTTCGTCTCCATCCAAAAGAACCAAGAGAAAAGAAAGGGTCCCATTATTTTTTCTTCATAATCATAATCATAATAATGATAATAATAATAATAATAATAATAGTGGTAGTGATAATAATAATGATAAAAATAATAGTAATAAAAACGACTGACTGAATAATAACCAACGAACTAGAACGAACAAGCGTGCCAAATGGCGCATATGTCTATCTCACCATATTCATGACAGTTAAAACATATTCCTCCACAGACTGGTTGCCATGGAAATTTATCATTTCTCTATCAACAACAACCAACAGCTGGACAGTGGCCTCATCATCCAAAGAACGACGCTGAAGGCGAACTGATTCTCGCCAAAATTGCCTCTTAGCGTGTTTCAGATTCCTATGAGCTAAAGAAATTGAGCAGATGTTTTGTTAACAAATCCAGAAGAATGAATTTTGATAGTTTCGATCAGACAGAGCTCAGTAAGAAGAGGTGAGAGGTAACGAGCCGTCATGAACCAAACAGAAAAAGCATCGTTGGGGGCAATTATGTTGGGAGACCCTTTCTGAGTGTCATCTTTGTTTAATGTCCACAGATTGTGACTTTATCAAGGATCTGTTGGTTACTTCGTTCAAAATCACTAAAATGCCATTACACGTCGTGCATGATCGGGTTAAAAAAAACGTTACAAAAGATTAAACAAAGAAAGTTTCCTTAAGAGCCAACATTATTAAATCTAACAAAGAGACATCGTATTCGACGATCAATTTGTTCTATTTCTGGGTAATCAGCTGGTAAATTGCCAGATTGTTAAAAAATAGGATTAAGTTTTGCAAAGACCTCATTAATCTTGTTAACTTGCAGTTTGCCAAATTCATATTATGAGCAGGAATTAATTAACTTTCTCCGGTGGGAAGGATTTTTATTCAATACTTAACCTCATAATCCATGGATAAAACTTGTAACACTCTCAAGACACGAAAAATTAACGGATGTCAGGTCCATTTAGCTAAACAATATTGGGTTTTATTGCTACGGAAGTAAATCTTTGTTATGGCCTCTGCTTTGACTTGTCACAACGGAGAAAGAAGGGAACAAGAATTGGGTGAGCCATAATTTGTGCATGGACTCCATTAAGGGTGCAAATTTAAGCAGTTTGAGAGATTAAAATGAACTTAATTAAATCACTGAATTTCCTCATAATCCTGAGATTAAACTTAACAAGCTCTCGAGACAAGAACAATCAAAAGACTGACAGGCCATTTGGCTTTGCAAGTTCGGATTTTATACCAACTGGAGGAAATCTGTTTAACGGCCGATCCGTTAACTGGTCACAGCAGAGAAAAGAGGAAACATGAACCGGCTCAGACAAAATCTCTTTAAAATTTCCTCAATTTTACCTTCTTAGGGCTTTTACAGAGAATTCAGTACGAGGCTGTTAAAGCTCTTTTGGACAGAGTATCATGCACGTGATTTGTTCATGACTGCATTTGATTAAAAATGATGATTTTATTGACTACTTGAGAGTGGAATCGTATATCAATTTCTCCATCATTTTTTTCATTTTTTACAGAGAATTTATAAGAGGCTGTTAAAGCTCTTTTGGACAGAGTATCACGCATGTGATTTGTTCATGACTGCATTTGATTAAAAATGATGATTTTATTGACTACTTGACAATGGAATCGTATATCAATTTCTCCATCATTTTTAAAGTCGAAACAAAAGACTCTTGCATAATTTATGAGGAAAATGTCTGGTGACGGCTACTATTATCAAGAAGTTTATTATTAGTTATTAGTTATTAGTTATTAAATAGCCTTTAATCCGTGCTTTAAACTTGTTTTCAGCGCGAAGCACGAAACCATTCCAATAATTACATTGATAAGATAGTGTCACGAAAATTAGTGAGATCTTCCTTAAAATTCACAGCTCCTCAGGTCAATTTTGCACACCTGTATATCTTGAGAATGGAAAGAATGCCATGAGAAAGTAAGTTTCAAGTGATCGGAAGTCCTCTAAAATGAATAACAATCTATAAAATTGCTACAAACGGCAAGATAAAACGTGGCTAGATCAGTTTACAACATCTACATTTAATTAGAATCATGATTTTGTTAATTGATGTAGGGTTTTTGAGTAATTACAGACATTATACGTCATATTTGTCAAATTTCTACTAATAACCTTTTTATCAATGCTGCATAACATTATTTCCCTTCTTATTTTCCGTCGACAGACAGAGCGCAGCAGCCTGCCTCCATGGGAACGTTGCTGTGACCAATCCAATTATAGCTTTAATATAAAACTGGAGTGTCAGCGTTTTAATCGAGTCGAATACGTGGCACTTAAAATTGTCGTGCAGATTGTTTAATGCTTTTTGTACAAACATAGCTTTTCTTTCCTTGCTGTTTATTAGGTGGAAATTTTGAACTTCAGTCTTCGGACCTGCTCGCTTCAAGCATTGAGTCGTAGGTGAATCCCTCAATTATTGAACAAACAACTGCTCTACGCGCATCAGCCATGTTGGTTTCGTTTCCAGTTTTTGTATTCATTTGAATTCCTTTGAAACTTGAAGCACTCGCTAACATTTCGCACTTGCTGTCATGGTAACTGATGCTACGTACTTAATCCCCTTTCCTGTAGCGCAACATAATCCGAGCGATTTCGGAAGAATCTTCCATAGGATCCCCCTCCTAGCTTAGTGCATTGCATCGCCTTCCCGTTCAAGTCAGTGAAATTAAATCGGACCTGCGTCATCCTAGAAATAATTTTAAGAGATTTAAAATAATCCTATTCTTCGTTTACCTGGCGAATAAGGAGCTGATGGAGAACACTTCCGAGAGGTGGGTGAACTTTGCGGTAGCGATGCTAACAATGAAGACCTCTTGTAAACCAAATGGGATTGGATGTCCGCCTTGGCCATAGGTTCTATGAAATAATCTTCGTCCATCGTTTGTATAAGTCCCATCTGTTACAACAAAGATACAAAGATAACCTTTTAGAGCAATCGGTCTGGACCTGGTAACTAGAGAAGCAAATATATATGTCTTTCAACCTTTCATCCATGAAGATCAAAGATAAGTTCCCCGGGATATGCTACAACATGAAAACAGTTTGTAAACAAAGGCAAACGTGAGAAATAAACAAAGGAACGTTATCATCACTTACCAGCCCGTGACATCCGCTTAGGGCAACACTGGATTGCGAACGAAACCGTAATCTTCCGATATAATAACAATTCCTGGATATATTCCGTTTCGCTGATGAATGTAAACTATTCAGTATTTCACTAGAGAACTTGGAATCCACGAGTCTGTAATTTTTCTTCAAATCAAGCAGGAACTCCTCTCCGAAAGCGCGGATCTTCACTTGCAATCTTTCGCTCCCAATGACATCTTTTAACTCGCTAATCTGTATCAAAGCAGTACCAGAAATAATCTCGGGAATGACTACTTCATATTCTTGTAAATTCCTCGCAAGTTGCTCTGCAGAAAGAATTGATATACCGAATGAGTTCATCAGTCTGCAAATCTCCAGTCACGAAATGATATCGCTGTAAACAAATCCGTGACGATTAAAGCAAATATAATAACAACATGAAAAGCACCTTGTTGTTTATCGCGAAACGCTATTTCTGTTGAAGTGAGTCTCACAAAACACAAAGCGAAAATCCCAAAACGAGTGAGTAAAGTGAAAACCATGCTTTCATGCCGCATAGTACCAAACCGGAGGGGACCTTTCGTTCAAATCACGAAATACGCTACCTAAGCCACGCTTAATTGTCTCAGGTCGAGTGAGCTTATTTGTCGGCAACCTCTTCTGTCATCGCCGTGTCTTAGGGGTTACCTAGACGGGGTATCATTTGTTTGGGTGAGCACTGTTTATATTTTACTAATCTAGACAAAACATGAAAAGAGGCTGAACATTTCGTGTGCGTGGTAAATTGACCAACGGAAAAGAAAAGTCGAGTCGCTTTTAGTCAACTCGAGAAGGCTAAACACCACCGGGAGTTCCCAAGTTTTGTTCCTGTTAAGAGTTAAACCGCGTGAACGTACTTGTGGATAATCTGAATTCTCGCCAAGACTTCATCATCTGAAGGGGGTTGAGAGGGAAGGTATTCTCTACGATAAAAGCAACGCACAATATGATGTTAAATCGATTCGCGTTCTCAAGAAAACCTTTACAATGCATTAATTGTTTGGTCTTATGTCTACTTGACATCTAGTAAGTCGCATTGAAAGAGAAGTAATAAACCATGTTTATCACTCGAGCTATATTTTCGGATGAATTTTACCAGTTCGTGAATTCTACCCTGACGCAAAGCTTTATCATCTTACAATTACCAGTGGTGGATTTAACTTTTCGACGCCATGTCTGGAGACAGTCATTCTCTTGCCCACCCCCCTCCCCCCTAGGGATAAACTTTGCGCCTTATGAAAGGAAAATCGGAAGGATCGAGCACTTGCGGAGAGGAAAGACTTCTTAAAATACCTGGAATATTATGTGCAACCTTAAGCTATGACCTTTCAGTCGTGGATACTGTAACGAAGCACTTAGTTCGTGATAATTTTGTTGTGCTTGGCGGATTAGAGCTGATTAATGATTGACATCAACACTTCACCGGAATAGAATACAATTATTTCATTACATCGGCACTTCACCGGAATAGTGCAATTATTTCATAACATCAGCACTTCACCGCAATAGCGTGTAATTATTTAATTATATCAGCACTTCACCGGAAAAGACTGCAGTTATTCAGAAGCCAATTGAAAGAAATTGTGCAGGAACACTTTCTTGGATAGCGGGAGAACTCGTGCCGGCCAAAGATCTATTTTTTGCTCACATGTGCTGATCCGAAGCCCTTGAGCGTCTTTTATACAGGTTACATATCGAGCTGATAAGAGTGTGAAGGTGTAGCAGCGGAAGCGATTTTTTTTCCACGTTTGCTTTGTGGTATTCGTCCCGCTACGGCAGGTATGTTTGCTATGAGATAATAACGCGCTTCAGTCAATAATCGTTTCGGTTTACTTGGACAAAGGAGGTCCATCGACCACACAAATACAAAGCCAGAACGGTGTGCTATGGACAAATACGTTCTTAAGGTCTCTTTGCAAGGTTTCAAGGTTTTTTTTACAGAGAAAAAGGGAGAACACGAACGAATGTCTTGTCAGTCTAAGGAGCGATAAAGTCATAGCTTTTTTTCGAAAGCACAAGTTGGAAACACGAGCCTACCGTTAGTTGAATATTCTCTAACTTCATTGCACTACAACTTACTTGTAATTACGAATAGAACCGTTCTCTCTGCTGTGACCGGTGGCAAGCTTTCAAGTCAAGAAAATCCTCGAGGTTTCCAATTATAGATACAAGTTGGCTTCTTTGCCTCCCGATCTTCACTTTCGTTTCAGATATATTCACAATATACTAAATGCAAATGAGTTTAGAAATTCTCACGTGCAAATTAAACCCCAAGATAAACGGGAAGTTTTCTATGTTAGGATTGAATTTCAACAAAGTTTTCAAAGGTATTTCTTGTAACTCATTCCTTGATTTTTTGTAAAATACAGTCTGTTTGGAAATAAATTTGGATGGAGAGGAAGGAAAGAGGGCCGGGAAAACGCTTCTAAACAAGGAAATCAATTCCCTGGCAAGAAAAATGATAAAATGAAGGAGAAAGGCCATACCTTAGGAAAAGTAGAGAGGCTAATATCGTTTCTCGGCGATTGATTTAGCAAGCTACGAGTGAGGGAAAATAAAAACGTGTTTTTGGACCCAACGTAATGATATAGTGTGAAGAAGGGGTACTCTGAGTTCCGCCAACGTCCATTCAAAGGTACCGCAAACAAGAAACTGGAATGACTAAATATCACTCATGTGAGGGGCCTCCGAATAGGAACCAGGAGAAGGAAAAAAAAAAGAGTTCGAGAGAAAAGTGACTGAAAGAAGCGTGATAGAGCGGACAATTACGAGATGCATAGCAATTCTTATACAGTTAAAATACGTTTCTTTAATGTATTATTCCGCTTTTGTTCATATTCACACCACATTAGGCAAAATTTCATAGTTCAGTTAATCCATTCTAGACTAAACAAGCGTTTCTTGAGAGCACCAGGCTTTTAGTAAACAGCACATTAAATAAAGGTATTTGGATATTTTTTTGTATTTCATAAATCCGTTCCAACAATTTCGAAGAAATACTTACATATATTAACACGCAATTAAATTTGATTAAACAATTTATCTTTATCCATATTAGTCTTGGCTACTTTTCTACAAAATCGAAAAAAAAAGACCCACTTAGGGTCTTTCAAAAAATAAAAAAAAAAAGTGATACAAAATCTAGAAACGAAAGTATATCTTTGAGCACGAGCCAAAAATAAACGTATGTAGGGTTAAAACGGCCTGATTTAAAATGTTCAGCTATTTCGACATTCTTTTTAAATATCTCGTAATGTTATGAATGGTTGAAGTATAATCTTAAGTCACACTCATATAATATCCTCTCAGCGCGGTAAATAAAGTGGCAAGGCAGCTACATAGTGCTTTTCGATCGCAGAGTACAAGTTGCTAAGGTTAGGTTTCGTTTGAATTCTTCAAGATATCTACTTCAAAATAATTTGATTCAACTCCTTCAAAACATAAATTTCCATTTAGTAAAAGGGACACGACAAATGTTTGGCTTGATAAAACAAGAAAGCACTTCAATATAGAATTTTTTAAAAAAGGATCAGAAAAAATACCTGGATTCCAAGGACTAACTTGAAAAATTGAGGCCAAATATTTTAAGCACAAAACCTTATCAAATTATTCATTATTGCATGGCAGTCATAATGGTTTAGCACATCATCTGTACAATTATCAAGCTTCTGTTTATACAGTAAGAGTAAATAAAATAGAAAAATGTTCACACTGGAGCGTTTGTTATAAATGTGTATCGGCGATAGAGATTCTTCTCATTGCATACTGTTCATCTCCCGGATCACCCATATCCAGGTCCTTTTCCTCGTCCATTGTTGGTTCAAATTGGCCCCCAGTCTTCAACGCAATAATTAGGTCGTCAAAGTCTTGGGTATCATCGTCATCTTCGTACATCTCGTTTACTCGGCCTAGGCTATCGGTGTCGTCCAGGTTGACGAACATTTTGCGACTTCCTTTTGGAGTGGCTCCATAATCTAGGTCGTCCCAGTCAGCCTGGAATTAAAAAAAAGAAACCAGTTTAACCTGATCGTCCCAGAGGCTGAATCAGTGCTATGAGAGAACACGACAGAGTTCATTCAGACCTTTACACCAAGGCCCAGCAGTTCAAAGGGCGGATAATTCCCTTCAACGAATAAATCGCTCTCCAGAGGATACGTGTCAACAAAACCTTCTGTGCTATCCACTGGGTGGCGAGCTATCCAGTGGATAGCGTTATCAACCCTTTGAACAACCAGGCTAGAAGGCGAAGGGACCAAACACAACTATTTAGCAAAAAACATAATAAAAGCACTGTTTACAAAATCGAAGATGAATATTTGACAGATAGAGTCATGACACAGATAATAAGTTACAGTGTACATATATTTTAACCTAAAAACTTTAACTCATAAGACATAGAAACAAACAAAAATTACAATTGCTATTGTCATATAACTATCAACGCATCATTAACACTTAAACGTTTAGGGTTAATGGACACACAAAAACCAATTAAACATACAAAAAAAATCCAGTGACCGTAAGAGAGATTGAATGTACTAACCACATTGGAATAAAGTGTTAAAGGTTAAATCATTTCCTTGATCGTTAGTATTTAAAATTTTAGATGTTGTCACAATATGTATGCGCAAACGTGCCTTTTAAACAAACTTTCATATGATACTTTTTAATTTTAAAATCATTTAATGGTTTTTGATGAAGACCTTTTTCAAATACGAATTTCGCTACCTTTCATTTTATTGTAACACAAGTTATCTTCACGGAGGATATTTTCGCGTCAGAAAAATAAAGGGAAATAATGAAAAACTTCTTTTCCCAACCGCAAAATTTAAATTTGGTAAAGAGCATAAGCGCATATCTTTCACTTCTTTATAAATTTTAACTCTCTTTCCAATTTTAATCATGAATCTGCCATAACAGAGGTAGCAAAATAAAGTCTTTTGAATAAGGTTCCTAGTCTTGATTTTAAAAAAATTATGCGGTCAAAACTAACAACAACTCTTGCAATCGGATATCCAACAACGGATCCGCTTCGTCTTTCAATTCTCGTCAAATAAACCTGACTCGGTTGAAGAGAAAAAAAACAAATAAAAAATTATAATTGTTATTGACATGCAACTATCAAGGCATCATTTACTCTTAAAATGCTTTAACACCTTAATTTAAATCGTGAAATCTTAGTGAAAGCCGTGGAAAACATAAGGGCCGGTTATTTAATCAAAGTTTAGCCCTTGTTTAACGAAACTGCGTTCAAACCTTTCGTCAATTTAGCTGAATCTTTTATCTGAACATTCGTTCTTGTGAACAGTGTCAAGAGGGCCAAAAGCTAATACTGGAAGGACATTTATTTAATTAAATCAACTTTCTTAGAGAGAATCCCTGAGGCCCACTGCCTGCGTAGAACCGCAGTTTGGATTAAATCTCGTGTAAATAACCGGCCCAAAGTATTGAACAAAAATTGAAAACGATCGATATCCTTTCTTTCTCCACTTTCTCAAAAAAAAAAAAAAAGACTTCAGCCGATTGACTGCGTGTAGAGATCCGTTCCCCGCATTCCATGCCTATCAATCATTCAGCTAGCTAGAATCTAAAACGCATTTTCAGGCTTTGGTGAAGAGAATAAGGCTGCGATTTGAGAGAGGGCTGGGACCTACGTGGCTGGTCACTTTATTGTGGTTACACGCTGAAGTTCATGGATAAAACTGGACTTTCGAGATATTTTTAAGCTTTGAAGTTAACGGTTTTTACGAGTCTTGCAGTTAATTCTAGCTGCGTGCTTTGATATTTAAATTTTATTTTAAATTTTCTAGAGAAGTTTATTTTTAGTTCAAATTTCTTGCAGCATTAGCTGACGACAAGGTTCAACTCCATGATTCCACGAAAAGCGTGTGGTCCAGTGAAGAATTTTGCTAACTCTTACCGGCTCGTCCGGAGAATTCCTCATTCTTTTGAGGCTGGCTATGGAGTGTTGAGGACTTGGGCTGTCTCTAAACAGGTCGTCACGTAATTCTATTGGTGGAGACATGGATGGGAATGCAAACGACCGCTTGAATACACCGCGTAACTGATTCCTCATCAAGCAATACCAGATGAAAATGTATAATGCCTGTAATGATAAACCAATGGATGAAAAGTGTAATTTTAAAACAATGTAGCTACACAACATTTTCAATCTTAAATGAAGTAAGTCTCAGTTTTCCATGTGCCTCGTTAGGGACCTTAAGCAACGCCAAGGAAGACGTCGATCAAAAAGATAAATTTCTTCTTCTAGTTACAGAACTTCACAAATGGTTGGACGTTTTTCGCCTCTCACGGCGCTATAACTTTATCGTGAACAGGGTTGAGTTCAAAATAGAAACTTTAAAAAATTTTTGCTGTCGGGGTTTAGGTTCTCATACCACAAACATTTTGGTGATTTCACGTTGTTGTTTTGCGTAGGACGGCTAAGAAATGTACAAGGATTTTAAACGAATGTACTGAGCTATTGTTCTGCTCATTAGATCTTTAATTTCGCCACGTCCTTCTTGCCGTCGTCCCCGTGGTTTGGATAAAATTCCCTATCACCAGTACTAACACAAAAATTAAACTTAGAGTAAGTCACGGATCCTTACCAGTATTCCGTCAGAGATCACAAACAAAATAAGCAGCCAATCGTATCCAAAGGCTAAGTGAAATCCAGCAAACAACCACACCAATGTAATCAGAAAAAAGAGTCCAATAACATAGCGTATTTCTAAACCGAGGTAGAAAAAAAATTAAAACATTTTAATAGTTAAATAAGGAATCAATTGAAAATGGAACCTACGCTATTGAGGGGGCTGGAACTAGAAGAGAAAGCTGTTTAAATCCAAATTTCAAAGGCTTCCTCCTATATCTCCATTTTGATCTTTTCGCTTTTAATGGACCGCATTTCTAAATCGAATTGACCCGAAAGGCCAATCAGAACTAAAAAAACGTTCCACAAAGTGCCAATGAGGGTTCTGAATCGTGGGAGAGTGGGCGTGACTAGGGTGCGGTTGGTTTTAATCTACTTCTGCTTGGTTAAGAGGATTGTACGAATGCTCTAGAATAACCTCAGAGTAAAGAGCAGATCCAAGTCAATTTCCAGTAGAAAATTAAATTTCGATTTAAAACTGCTCTTGGGTGACTGTAACTTCTTAAGGGAGGAAACACATATTTAAGTACCTTTTATGTTGTAGTGCCCACGGAAAATGTCATCGTAGTGTTTCCATTGTGGAGTGACCAGGTATGCCTGTGTGAAGATCAAGGCCACGCCCATCAGCAGCAGGAGGATTGGGCCAACAACACTGGCAAGAGCAGCGTATGTGTTTGGTATAAAACACCTGGTGAAACGTAAAATAAAAATGTTAACAGAAACTATACTTAAAAAAAACTGAAGAGTATCCTAGGGTTCAAAATCAAAACCGGAAGATCACGTTTTCAAATAAACTTTTAAGGCAGAGAATGGTTTGAACTGCGTTTTTCTGTTTCTGTCCTGGGTGATCTTTTGTGATTTTGCTCTAAGTCATAAGTTGAGCTTCTTCTTGTTCAATACTTTTCGCTATTTGTGCCCATTAGGCCCAATTTTGGGAAAAAATTGCAGGTTGCGATGTCGTCTCAAACAGCTTTTAAATGAGATGTGTTACTCGTGAGTTTGAGAGCAGAACCACAAAAGATCAAAACCAAATTTAAAAAACGGCATTAAATGCAACAGCATCAGTATTGAGACTGCCTTAGTGTTTCCTGAAGTAATTAATCCCCATCTTTCCCCACCCTCCATGACCTGCCCCAAAAGTTCACTAGATGAGAGAAAAGAACGACCATTTCAGCTGATAACAGATTAGGATTTAACCTTTTATCTCCCAGTAGTGATTACCATGAAATTTCTCCCTGTAATATCCATACGTTTTTCAGCAAACAGGTAATGAGAACATTTAAACTTATCAGGTAGAATCCGCTATGTTGATCTAGCGCCAGTTCTCGTTACTAATTTACAAGGAAATGTTTAGCAGCTCAAGGGAAGAATTAACAATCAGATCTTGGGAGTTAAAGGGTTAAATCTTCTTTGAGAGTTTGGCGAAAATAAAAAACATGCCGCTTAAGAAAAAAGGGGAACCATTTGAGGAACACATCTCCAACTTACATGTCTCCATTACTATGAACATCAGCATATGCTTCAGTAAACTCCCAATTGAGGGCAAGTTGAGTGACAAGGATATATATCACAATGACCACAACAGGCATCCCTGAGAAATACAAACGATGAATCACGTCAGTCATAACGTATCAGGCATTGCTAGATTGTATCCCTCCGCTAGGCTATTAACAGAAATTCTACTCGCTGATGAAACGATTTACCATATAAACTACGGTGTTACACAAGGATTTCCAGCCCTGAGAAAAGCCGTAACAACACACGTGAAAAATATGGTATTTTTTATGGTGAATAGATCGCACCAATTAGGGCCAATCATACTACAGGGACCACAAGTGATTTCAAAATGGATGTGATAAATAAGATAAACAAACTGATACACGGTTGCTTGTATATATGAAATTTCTCTTCTCGAGTTCAACTCGACATCTCACTCGTTCGCTGCGCTCACTCGTAAGCTATTGAGTTGAACACTCGAAGAGAATTTCCATATCTACGCGCGCCCATGTATCATTCTCTATATCATATATTTACTACAAGCGTGCATCTTGATGTGACGTCAAAGTCTCTTATTTTATCAGAGAGAAGGTAAAGAGCATGTAGAGGAGAAAATTATTCACTCGATCATGAGAATTAACTCCTAAGATCGCATTGGTGATTCTCCTTACTGTCTGCCATAAAATTCCTATGATGTGAATTTGGAGAATTTGGCATTGGATCAACTAATAACCCCCTCGTTGATATTTTACTTTACTCTTGTCACTTCTATGCTTGATATTATATTGATATTGTAAGGAGAAATTCTGTCTTGATCACTCATGGGAGTTAAAAGGTTAAACAGAATCAGCACTTACCCCATCCAACACTCAAGAACATGACCAGTTTCCTGTCGGTGTGCTCGTCATTCAAAACGAAGACACGCCATAGATTCCATCCCTAAAAGCACAAAACAGAAATAGCCTAATTGCATGTATCTCATTCACAAACACTGTTACTGTAATGTATTGATTACCGCAAAGGTGAATACTCTTTTACTAGAGAACCAGCGTGGAGCCCTATCACAGCTTTATCATTTTTGGAACTGCGTAATAGCTGTATCTTCTTTTTTCTTTTTACGTTATGAATCGTATAAAAACCAGTTCCCACGGCAGAAACAGTGGGACAAGTATGAGCAAAACCTTAGTGTAGTTGTTGTGCTGTACACAAAGATTAAATATTCCTTGCACTTGTTAAAAAATTATCATACCTCAATGAACATCCAAGAAAACTGGCAAAGGAAGAAGTAATGAATAAACAAGGCCAAAACTGAACAGCGAGTAGGTTCCTCCACTAATTCTGGGCTGAGATACGCACCCAGAACATACATCAACTGAAACAGAGAAAGAAGATACCGTTTAATATAAGTTTAATTAAAAGCAGAAACGTTTATTAGGACTTAAAGACGACGGAAATGATAGCGTACAGACCCTGAGCTGTTCGAGCTGACGTCAATGGACTCAGAATCAGCTTTACTTATATTGCTGCATAAAATAAACAAATGCTCCTATTATCATATGTATCAAAAGTATCAAAACAAATTGTTCACCTGAGCCATCATACAAGCGAAAAACAAATGAATCAATAGCTTGGCAGCAAACATGTTCTCGACAGAGCATGCGTGGTGGATAACCAAGGCGGCGAAAAACGCTCCCTAATAGCAAGAAAAAAAAAGAGAAGTTAATTTCAATTTCCTATTAGGAAAACAGGAATTTCTTGATGCTAGCATCTTCACAATTTCGCGGTTGAAGATATTCTCAAGGGAGAATATCACCAAGAAAATTCCACTGTTCTTCTTTTTCAAGGAAACCTCGCCATCTCAGAAATAAAAATAAAAGTTTATGTAACATACCATACAGACAAAGCAGACGATGAAAAAGTAAATCTTATATCCAGTTCTGTTGTCGCTCTCTCCTTGAGCTGCAAAGATCGACAAGTGATCACACTGGCACTCTACGTACTCAGCTTTGTCGCTCTGTTGAAGAGGGAAATAATCATCACCACAATATTCACTCTTTGTATTACTAATACCACTGATCAAAATGGTTCAGAGCATATAATTCAACATGGCTATTCCTCAGTATAAATTTGGAAAACCTGTTAGACAGGTAAAATGCCAAGAAATGTCTGACTCATACAAGAAGTTTCTACTATTTCAACTTAACAGATGGTATTCCCTGAAGCAAAATTAATATATTCCATGAAAAGATGATACACAAAATTCAAGACATATAGCCATGCAGGAATGCAAAGAAATTAATGTTTTTGATAAAAAGATATTTACCTTTTTAGTGCAGCCTTCTGTAGACCAAGCTGACTTGGAGTGATCCCAAAAAACGCAACTGGAAAAAAAAAAAAAAAACAGATGGTAACTTCGATTGACGCCAAATGAACATGTTATATAAGGGAAGACAAAGGCATAAGAGCCACAACATACGGACGAGTTTTTGGGCTACAGGAATGCTTACCTCCCCTAAATGTAAAGATGGTATGACGTTATTAAAAACATGTGAAAATTATTACGCGGAAAGCAGTTATTTCTATTCAATTACATCAACAATGAATGAATTTATCCAGAGCAGAAGTGAAATTCTACAACTTTGGTAACAATTTCCACAACTTTCCTCGTCGAGGATAATTCAGACAACAATGCGACTTACTCGGCTCCTTTGGGAGTGACTCTCTTTTTGTCTGTGTAGATGCGATATGTAACTGGATTTTGACTGCTAATAGCTGGCGTCTCATTCAGTGAAGTGGAGAGCACCTGGAAAACATATCAAACCTTTGTCAGTGTAGCTACAGAATATTATGCAAGTGGAGGGAAGGAGAAAGAGAAAGGAATGGGAGGAAGAAGAAATAAATGGGAAAAAGTAGCGGTACAAGGTCGAATGATACGTGAAAAAACAAACAAAGATATGTACACAGGCAGTAAAAATTGTAAACCAAAAAAGGCACAGAGAGCATCAGTTCGCTAAGGACGAGAGAACAGGAAGGAGATCAAAAACAAAATGAGACAAATACAAACGCACTGAAAAAAACGAGAGACCTGGCGAAAAAAAAAAAAAAAGGAATTCTGTGATTCAAGACCAAAAAAACGATTCTTACTTTTTCGTTGATGACTGGAGGTCTGTTAGGTTTGCTGAACCAGTGAGCAGTTTGGTAATCGATAAAGTGAACATCGTTACACTAAAAAGGAAAAAAATGTCAGATCGTTCCGGATCGCAAGGTAACTATTTCGAAAAAGAATTATCAACCAAATTCCAACTAAACATAACACAAACCTCGCTTGATGAAGAAGATGAAGAGGAAAACATACGTGACGGATACTGGAAGTAATCTTCCCCTTTCCTAAAAAAGAGATAATTGTATAAGATATCAGCAAAACAGCCTGATTCAGTTAGCATTATAACGAAACACAGGGAGGTGCAAAATGAATATTTTCCCTGTTACCTTTTTTCCCTTCGAAAGAAAAATTATGAGAAGATTATGTAGCGGTTAAATAATCCGGTTTCCATGGCGGAAGAGTATTGCTCACCCTGGATTAGATGGATGGTAGACCAGCGCAAGTTACCTCAGAAAGTTTATCAAGTTTTTCCAGTTTTTAGATACCCATTTAAACTCCTGAATCGAGAGAGAGGGGGGCACTATGGAGATTCAAGATTTTACCAGGGCCTTTGCATCTGAGTGTTACACCTTCGACAGGTTCCGCAAAAATGGATCTTATACATGGATCGCTAACATTCATTAGATATATCTCTAAACATCTTTTCTAAGAGAATCAAGGAGTTCGTTTTCCTTAAGAGGACAACGTTACATGTAAGCTTCTGGCATATGTTTGAGGGTTAGTGTCATACCCGGCGGCGATTTTTAGCCCGTCCAGTTGAGAAGGCGATCGTCTAAAGCCTTTCACTGTAGCGCGTTGACCCTGAAGGGATGCACCATTCTCGTCTGGGCAGGGCAAACCATACATCAGGGAAAATGCAAACGTTTCAAAAACTGTGGAGAGTTTGTCTTGACCCCTGAAAAATCAAAGTACAACGACATATCGAACTTTAAGTTATTGTTATTGTTGTTGGTGTTTTTTTTTCTTTTCGTTTTTCCTTTTTTTTTAAAGAATAACAGTAATGATAAAAATAACGATAAGAATATTTTTTTAATGAGTCACTGCGAAATCAAGTTTTCAAACCATTCCAGTATTCAAAGGGGCCCAGAAGAACTCAAAGTGAAGACAAGCAAACAGCTCAAAGTGCGAGAAGACGTTCACGACAAAGTGTGGCGATTGGCTTCGGCATCTGATTGATGGAGAGGGTGGCGCGAGATTCTTTTAAACCAATCGCATAGCGAAGCAAAGAGAGGCCAGTACAACACCGGAATACTTTCGATACTGGAATGGAAATAGTTTTAAATGTCACAGAAAGTATGAAAGCCGTTCTACCGCTATTTCCTCTCAAAGTGTAGGGATTACTATGTTAGCAATGAACACTCACCTCGTGTCATCTCGACTGGGTTTCAATAATTCGTCAAAGATGTCTAAAAGAAGCTGTTTGGACGAGTCTCTCAACCTGAAAGACCAGCGTTTAAATTCTTATTATTCTCCACGACACTGCAACTAGTCGTTTCATTTATGTTTGGAAGAAATATGACATTATCTAAACGTCTTCCAAAAGGTCTTTTTCGATGTATAGCTTAACAGAGCTAAGCGGACGCGTGATAAAGGAATTGAACGAGGCCACTTGTTCATTTACTAATTGCTTGTGTCCTCTCAGTTACAAATCTGGGAACCATATTTGTAGGCCACTTTCTGGAACCATCTGTTACTCCCAACAAAACAGCAAAGAAACGGCAATGGAGGATAAAGATCGACGTGGGTAGAAAAGAGTCATCCAGCGGAACGTTAATGAGCACAGACCTTCCAGCGGTCTGCCGATACTTATCCAGCACTTAAAGCTTAACACAAAACTGATTCAACCTCTATACTTACGCTGTACCCTGGCTCTTCTTGTCGCCTAAGATGATGTTAATTGTGTCCATTGTTAGAGTCAGTCTGTCTTCATCCAGCGTTGTCTGTATGTTCGATTTCAGTTCCGTGAGGATCCTTTAATTCCAACCAAATTAAATAAATTAACTACTGAGGAAATGTAAGTTCGTATACGGCACAGCTCCTCTAGGTGGAGACGTTGTCAATATATTATAGCCAAATACAGTTTGCTCCAGATTTACTTCACTATCGCCTCTGGTATTGCTCAAAGTTTCACCTCCTTCACGAACTACTCTCACGCCTCTGGAGAGCTGTTTTCAAACTTAGAACAGACTCTTCTTGACAGATGACAGCAAACACGGCACCCTAAAAACGACTTAATAATGACACCTATATAACCACCGGACCAAACAGAGTGCGCATCGAAACCGTGATTGGTTTTAATTTTCCATCTGATCGGTTAAGAAAGTGGCACAAGTTTTCTGGACGAGCGAAGTAAAGCAAAACCAATGCAATCTCAGGGTAGTTTAGTGTTATCAACAGAGTTAATAACGTAAATTGGCCATCGTAGAGAATTTAAAGGCGGGGCCAATTCACGTTATCAACTCAGTTTACAACACTAAATTACACTGTTATACTCTCCCCCCGAAGCAGCACCACTGTTTCCTAAGAGACTTACCCCCTTTTATTCAATGCAATCTCAGATTATTTTCGACACTCAGTTGAAAGTTGCTCTATGAATTAGTCATGGGAAATTCTTACTCGTCAATCTTTTCATCAGAAAGTGGAGTTTGAATGGCTAAGGCTCGCAATTTTAGGAACATCGTTGTCTCTTTGTCGTCTGAAATCGTCACGAAGGATATACTGTCATTCAAGATCCTAGAAAAAAGTATGAGGATAATGACTATTTGAAAATACCATGGCCCGGAAAGGATGACTAGTGCATCCCACAGAGCCACCTTAAAAATTGTTCTCTGTATTAAGTATGACTAACTGCTTTAATGTTGTAATGGATAATTCAATAAATAATTAAATTTAAACATTCGAAAACACATGACCAGGCAACTCACTTTGCTCCTCCAGTAGCGTTGAGCAACACGACCTCGAAGGCTTTTGGGTACTTGGTGGGGGAAGCCTCTCTTGGAGTTAAAGCAATTGTTATCAGCCGCGACGTCTAAAGAAAAACAATAAATGGTTTGTTTACTGTTCCTCTTTAGCTAAAAAATGACGCTAAACTGCGCCCCCACGCTAAAAAGATATGATATAGAACAAAATTTACACTTTACGTTGGCATCTGCCTGTCCCTCTACTAGTGACAATAATGTTCTTTATGAAGCTCGAATGGTGTGTAGCTGATCCTGTGCATTGGATTTCAATCGATTGTCACTTGTAAAAATCAATCCAACCACTTTCGATTGCGGAGAAAAGGAAAAAATATATGCACGGGAAACACTCGAGACTGACGAGGTTTTTTTTTTTCTTTTTTTTCTCAGGTATCGTTCATGGCACAAACATGCAAAAATCATTGCTTAGCAAGCTCTCACTAATCATCTTTTTTTTTTTGGCATATACGGTCAGTCACAAACAATTGATGAGCCAGCGAACTTACTTCTCCTTTTGTGAATCTTATGGAAGTGGCAGTAGGCTTCACGTAATCTTGTCCAGCGAATGCTTGGGAGGTCTCCAGGCCTGGCTTTGAAGTGAATCTATCAGGGAGATCGCGTGTTTTAAAGTAAACAGTGACGTCATTGTCTTTCCCATGGTTCCGGATGACCTGAAGAGAGATTTCGGTAGCAGTCTTGTCGACAGTTGTGTAGCTAAGAGAGACAAAAAGATGGAATTTCAACGATGACATGATTCGTAATCGTACGGGACCGTTTCAGAATAGTTTCCATCGCAAAGTGATGTGCAGTTTTGATATGTGGTTTTGCGGTTTTGTGGTTTTGTCACTCAGTGAGGCTAAGTGAAACTCAAACCTCTAGTTAAAGTTGGATAGTGCAAATCAAACAAAAAACCATTGTGTGACATGATTATAATCAAACTGATATACATGGGAATGTTATAACGCAACAGCAGCAGCAGCATCAACAAAAAAAGTGGAACAACAACATACATTTACAGATGTAGTTGCTCCAACCTTCTTCGTTTTGCATAACATCATGAAAAAATTAGTCTTACACTAGAATAACTACATTTGATTTGTTAATATTTAAATAAATATATAACTAAATAAATAATAACGGGAGAACAACTTACACAGTGTCCTTGTGGAAGGCGACCGTTCCATTGGGGTAGTCACTCTCCAGAACATTGATTACCGCAGAACGGAACTGAGGATTAATTCGCGCTTGGCTGCCACTCACAATATCATTTAAATCCACATGAAAGCTGGAGGCCCGCTCTGGTATCTAGAAATCAATGGAGATCTCGTTCGAAATGATTCCAGAGAAAAAAAAAAGCGTCGCAAACAACACTGGAAGGATGGGAAGAGTGATATGCACCAAACTTCTTCGCGATAGAATTACTTCTTGGATTACCAAAAAACATATTCACGTTTGCGCAGTGCTTTAAAAAAAAAATAAGACCATATCTAGTTCTCTGCAACCTACCGTAAAACTCTTGGAACAGTTAACCTTTCACCAACTCGTAGTCACTATCCAACTTTATACCCGGCTGTGTTAATACAATGTTTCTTAGTGAAAACATTGCGATTACATCATAAACTTAAGGGTACCTTTACGCAATACCATTTGGAGCGGGAGGGGGGCTGCCAGCCAACTGATCGATACATCTTGCGTTTAAGGAATACTTACAGCATCATTTTTCATAGTGATGACAAGATCTTGCTGCTGCACACCACTGGCAAATCTAACTCTTCCTTCAGACGCTTCGACCTGGTCACGAAACTCACTTTCACGAACACTCCACGAAACCTTAGCACAAGAAATAACGATTGCAAATAAGCATTCTGTAGAGAACATACAACTTTTATTTCCAATATCAAAATTCGTTTTTCATATATCAGTTGCGCTAAGTAAGGAATATAGCCTTCGGCTCCTAACTTCTAATGAACAAATAATTCTTGTAGCATTTCCCAAAGAAACTGAAAACAGAACGCAAGAATCCAACAAACAAAACAACGATAGCAAGGTAATATCCAAAAACATCATTAAAAGATTTTTAAAGAGAAGGTTATTTTCTAGTTAGGTAGCTTGGGATAAAGAATTTGAAAAAAAGAAAAAGAAAAATTGGAAAGCCAACAAGAACAGAGTGCAGGGAGTACGTTTCTATAGAAACTGTGGTACTGCGTCCGTTTGGTGTATGAGATAATTTGATTCTATCAAATGAGTTAATCATGTAAAGTGACCACCGTAGAGAGGTTCTAAAGCTGATGTTTCGAGCGTTAGCCCAACTTCAGAGCTCTACATTTGCAGCGAAAGACGTCAATTCGGCTGTGAATTCTTAATATGTAATCTTTCCAATCATATTATGGAAAGAAACTGCTTGAACATAGCTTATAGTTTGAATGAGTTCGTGGAAATGTCATGGAATTACAAGAGGAGCAGGAAAAAATGAAAAGCCGAGGTTACCTACCACTAAAGAATCCGGAAGACAACCAGGTTGACAGAGAGAGGCCTTAACGACAAGAAGCAAATAAAGAATAGTGGAGTATAGAAGAAGAGGAAAAACAGTTGCCTTTTGCCAAGAAATTTAAAAAGCTAAGAAAAGAAGACTAGTAACCATCAATAATTCCTTCAAAGTTAGAAAAATGAGCCATAAAAGTTGAGTTGATAAAATAGGACAAAAAGGACAGCAAGAAAAAGAAACGGAGGTGTTGTTATCCAACAGAAATTTGCATAACTTCCCCTTACAAGTCACAGTCAACGCTACAGAGTTAGAGTTACACCTTCCTTTTCAAATACTTAGAGTTGCATACCTGAACTTCACCGAACGTGGCTTTCGATCTTTGAACTTTGAGTGTAGCTGATCTCCTCGGTCCATCCTCATCTACAGTTACTGACTGAGATCCAGGCACGAATCCTATCACTCCGTTCATCAGATCATTGCCTTCGATAGTGATTGTGGCCCAAGACTAAACAAAAATAAAATACAGATCAAATTTTATTCATCACCAAACATGACTTGACCAGCGATGTATTTTCTCTATACCTGTAGCCCGCTGTCGGAATCAGTAGCAACTCTAGCTCCACCGCTAGCATCTGTCAAGTAAACCAAAATCTGTTCCTCCGGTTCAGGCAGTTCATCATCTTTTAACTCCAGTTGTACCTTTCTTACTTGTCCGTTAGCTGGTATTGGGTCTTGATCCTACAAAATTTGACCAAAACGTCACATAAGACAATACAAAAGAAGACCACTTTCGTCCTAAATTCTCAATCTACAGCACCGCCTCATAATTTTCACCAAACTCTCAAGAACATGAAAAGGAAAAACTCTTACGGGAAAGTTTACTCGTGTTGAGAGCGGCACGTAATCCGGCCCAGCCGTGGCGTTCTTCTCTCCCTTTTTCGCGGCAATGGCTTCTTTCAACGACTGCAAAGTGGGGCTCCAACCTTCCCCACCCCCGACAGTCCTTACAAGAACAGACACAGCGCCAAACGTCCCCTTAGTTCGACGCACTTCCAGCTCCACCATGCGAGATTTACCACCGGTCGCGTTTTCTGGGACTGTTATACGAGTATTGCTGAAACTGAAGATTCCCTGAGGGTCGTCATTGTCTTTGACTGTTATACGCACAGTCCTGTTCACACCCAGACGCGGTGAACCGCCTGAAAAAGTCAGAGATTGAAAGTGAGGTCCTCCACAACCTGGCAGAGCGTGACTTCGTTAGTTACGCACGCCTTCACAGTTACAAACTCAGTATCTTGCGAATGATGATGTATCCATGCCAATGAATATACCCTTGTTAATAAACCACAGTCCATCGTCAATTCGATAAAATACCACCCCACAATTGTCACTTTCAAAATGATTAAACACAAACCACCCTCAAGACAGAAAAAAGCTTATTCAGCCTCGAAAATTTTTCTGGAAGTAACTGTTCTGAACATAAACGAAGGTAATTCATGAAGATAGCAAAGAGATACATACTTCCAGTCACTGAAGTTAAGTTCAGAAAGAGTGTGCGATCTTTCTGCGGATCAGAATTTCCATCGTCCACGGTGACTTCAAATTCTTTACTGTACTCGCCATTTGCCATGTTGACACTACCCGAGGAACCTTGGAAGGTGTAATCCACCTTAATCGCGCCCAACACACTAAATTGACGGACAACTCTGCATGTTACCTACAGAAAGTAATTGAAAAGTCAAACACGACACATATGGCTATTACT